GCTATACAAAGATGAAATGAAGGTCCCTTTTTGAAATGAGGAGTTTGCAGACAAGGAGATGCTAAACTGTTCTGCATAATTATGTAAAAGATTTTTTCATGTGGGTAGAGTTATAACTCTGCACATTACTTCTTTTTGGAAAAACTGTTCTTCCTCTCTGTGGCTACTCACGGAAGTAAGCTACATTCCAAGGGAAGAGTCATAAACATGGCTGCTGTGTCACTGTGAAGGACCGGGGTTAAGGAGACAAATGGCTCAAGAAATCATAGAGGGAAGAAGTTATCACATAGTATGCACCCCAGGGGACAAACCTTGTCACCTGCTCTCCTGGATTAAAAACAAGCATCGAGGGGCACCAGGGTGGCTCAGTCAGTTAAGCATCCGACTCTTGGTTTAGGCTTAGGTCATGATCTCACGGATTGTGAGTTCGAGCCCGGTAGGAGGCTCTTTGCTAACAGTGTGGAGCCTGCTTGGGATCCTCTGTCTCCCTCTCTCTCTGGCCCTCCCCTGCTCGCTCTATCTCTCTCACTCAAAATAAATAAATGACTAAATGAATAAATAAATAAATAAATAAATAAATAAATAAATAAATATTAAAAAAGCCAAGCATTGCTTTGTTCATAGTTATAGTGTCAAAAATTAAAATTTAATATAGAAGTAAATGTTATGGGAAAATGAAGTGTTTTCATAGATCACAGCTACTTTCTTTTTCATAATTCTTCCCAGTTAATCATTTTTCATTTATCAATTTTTCTTCTTTCTGTCAGCATACAAAGTTTTTTTGGGTCACATGTTTATACATAATGGTACAAATATTTATTAACTAACTTATTTAAAAATTTCATAATATGATTTATTTTACTCTTTGCCCAAACTATAGGCAGACCTACAATAGAGCAGAACTGAGGAAAGAGGACCCCAAAAGAAGCCTGTAATTTGGGGCACATGATAAGAGTCTTATCCATGAGGACATTCAGGGGTGGGGCAATGGTATGAGCAGCCTGGCTCTTTCTGTTGGCTTGCATAGTGGAACATGAAAAAACCTCTGGAATTTGGAGGCTGAAGACCTAGATTACGGTTCTGACTCAGACACTTCTTAGTCATATGACTTTACCTTTTTCAAGGTGTTTTTTATGAAGGTGTCATTTATAAAATGGAGATTTTCTTATTTCTCCTTTGCAACCATGAGATATAATTACAGCTAACAAAATGTAAGGGGAAATCTGCTGAGGCTTCTGGGAGAGTTTCTTTCTTGAGAAGAGGAAAGCTCTTTTTCCCACCATCCCTGCTTTTCCTTCTTGTTTGGATGTTAGTGGAAGATCCTGATTCTTGGAGCTGTGGCAGCCATTTTGAGAACATGAGGTAAGAAGCATGAAGATGAAAAGTTGACTTGTTGAGAGTGGCAGATTAAAGAACTAGAAATTGCCTGGGGTTTTTCAACTTCATAAAATTTCTGAACCAATCTGGAACTACCTCCCTTCAGGTTTCTAGACTTGTGAGATGACTAAATACTGATTGAACCACTGCTACTCAGGTATTCCATTACTTGCAGCCTTGTCTCTGTGTCTGGATTTGAGACAATCCAAATCAAGACAAAGAGGTTCACTGGAGTTTCATATTGTGGCAGGGGTGGAGGGGACCCTCAGAAATAACCAGAACCAAGAATTCAGACCTCCTTAGAGAGTGCCAAATCTATTTCTCCAACTCTAGTTTTTTAAAAAATTTTTTTCAACGTTTTTTATTTATTTTTGGGACAGAGAGAGACAGAGCATGAACGGGGGAGGGGCAGAGAGAGAGGGAGACACAGAATCGGAAACAGGCTCCAGGCTCTGAGCCATCAGCCCAGAGCCCGACGCGGGGCTCGAACCCACGGACCGCGAGATCGTGACCTGGCTGAAGTCGAACGCTTAACCGACTGCGCCACCCAGGCGCCCCTCCAACTCTACTTTTTAAAATGTCAGGGTTCTGGGGTTCCTGGGGGGCTCAATCAGTTGAGTGTCTAACTTCAGCTCAGGTCATGATGTCACGCTTCATGGGTTCGAGCCCCATGTTAGACTCCCTGCTGTCAGTATCCGAGTCTGCTTCAGATACTCTGTCTCCTTCTTTCTCTGCACCTCCCCTGATTGCGTTCTCTTTCAAAAATAAATAAGCATTAAAAAAAACCTTTAAAATCCCAGGGTTCTAATTGCCCCCACCCTGAGTCCGTCACTCAACTTCTGGCCAGGGGCAAGGTCATCTATCATTGGGGTTCACACCTGTGGATGAGGTTCTTTCCCGAGGGGGTATAGCAGTGAGCTGAAGAGCCCTCCCAGGTGTGGTCTCCCAGAAGCACCAAGAAGCCAAATACTTATCTTTGACCTCTTACCACAGCCCCTTGAAATTTCGACTACTGTTGTCACTTTGTCAGTTTAAGGAACCTATATAACAAAAGAAGCCCCAGGCACACAGTAACACGTAACTGGATTGGTGAGTGACAATTACCAAGTGGATGGGCACAACATGAGTCTATTTCTTACTGGGAGGATACAAATGAAAGGAGAGGGAAAAGAAACAGTCTTTAAGTATGGGTAATTCTGCTGGGGACCTCTGGGAAACTGTAGATCACACTGAGGAATCATTCCACCAGAAGACAGGGAGGTGGAGCATTTACCACCATCCCCATTACTTGAGGTTTGTCCCTAGGGTGTCTGCTCCCTGGCACTATAGGTCATGCCTGCAGCACACCCAGGAAACCTGTCTTGGAGACAGAGAGAGCCCTAAAGCAGAGAGGCAGAGAGATTCAGGCTTTTGAGGTATGAGGCTGACAGCGTACTGGGAAATGTCTACAGCTACAGGGAAGCTCAGGAGGGCACAGGTGATATTGAGAAAGGCATCAACAGTATCTGCCACACCCCCTCTTGGCTGAAACTGGTTCGCTTTGGGTTTCTGTCACTTATGACCAAAGGAGTCCTGATAATGCAGCTCGCTTCAGTTCTTCCACAGAAGCAGCCATGCCCAAGTCGGGCCAGGCCTGTGTACAAGACACTGCTGCTGGGAGCACTTTCCTTGACATATATAACACCACTGGCTACTAAGGGGTCACTGAAGGCAAAAGGACTGTGGCAGAATTGATGTACCAACTGCAGGGCAAGGGGTCAAGAATGGCTCACTGTTTTATTTGTCCAAGGAGTGATGCAACCTACTGTTTGGTGAAGAGCTCTAGACACATAAGAGTAGCCAAACATGTAGAGAAATAGTAAGGTGCTGAGTGTATTCTGTTCTCCAGTGATAAATAACTCACTTTTTTGTGCCACATGTTCTCAAAGCATGAGTTAAACTGAAGTTTAAAGATTCTTTTAAACAGCACATGAATGGAATGGAAAGGTGAGCTGCAAACTGAGATGAACTGCAATTATCTGCTGGCCTTCTAGCTACAGAAAGTTTGTTTTCTTTTTACCAACCTGAAAACAAGCTAGTTGCTTCTGTGTGGAATGCATTCAGCTGCAGGGAACAGAAATGTGACTTCAGGGGCTCATATGAACAGGACCTTCTTTTCCTCACGTAATGAGAGAACTGGGCGGAGATGGTGGCTGGCGGTAGCTCATTGGCTGACTACACTGCCAGGGACTCATACCTTCATACAGTGGATGAATTATAAGTGTGCTTGCTCTGTTTGATCCTTCTACTGAAGGGAGCCTCTGTGTAAAGTTCCAGAGACCGAAGAAACAAAGTAAATCAACGGATTAATAAAAGTAGTGTTGGGGCGCCTGAGTGGCTCAGTCAGTTGAACTTCAGACTTTGGCTCAGGTCATGGTCTTGTGGTTCGTGGGCTCGAGCCCTGCATTGGGATCCCTGCTGTCAGCCTGTTGGCGAGGAGACTGCTTCGGATCCTCTGTCCTCCTCTCTCTCTCTTCCCCTCCCCTGCTTAGTCCCTCTCCAAAAATAAATAAAAAACATTTAAAAATGAAAAAAAAACGTTAAAATGATGAGCACGAGAAAGAAAATCCAATCCCCCTCAACCCCCAAAACCATACAAAACGAAAATAATGAGCATGTGTCTTAGATTTGGTAGTGTTCTGTTTAAAATGTGTTTTGCCTCCTACCTGGTCCTGTCCCCTGTCATACTTAAAACAGATATTTCCTCTTTGTTTTGTTTTGTGCTGTTGTCTCGTATGGTCTGTGATCAAAGTCATTGTCACCAGTAGAGGCTGTAGAGCACAGAAGGCAAGGACTTAGCCTTGCCACCAAATCTGAGTTGATTGATCTGGGACCATTTATGACCTACAGAAAGGGTGATGTCTTTTTTTTTTTTTAATTTTTAATGTTTATTTATTTTTGAGAGAGAGAGAGAGGGAGAGAGAGAGAGAGAACATGAGCAGGGGAGGGGCAGACAGGAAGACACAGAATTTGAAGTAGGTTCCAGGCTCTGAGCTGTCAGCACAGAGCCTGATGCAGGGCTCGAACTCACAGACTGTGAGATCATGACCTGAGCCAAAGTTGGATGCTTAACCGACTGAGCCACCCAGGCACCCCAGAAAGGGTGATGTCTTATAGTTCAACATAATATTATAATTATCATCATTTAGTGGCCATTTATTGAGTACTGATCATGAAAGAAATTTAACAGCTCCTCAGTGACCAAGCTAGGACTTAAACACTGCTGCATGTCTGTGCCCCTGATAGGCAGCTTGGTGCCATGCTGCTTCTCTCTAATTTTTATTTTTATTGAACACCCCTCATCTTCTGGCCTCTGGGTGATAATGCTAAAGATAGAAACTTTTCCTACTTTTTGAACTTCACTGTGTCCCCTCAGAACATGTGAGAAAGTGCTGCCAGCATCTTCTGGAAGATTAGGAGGGCAGTAAGATTCCGTAGCCACCTTCTGGCTGACATTTGAGCCCTGCTTTCAGCACGGTCAAGCCTTTTGGAGGAAGCCAGTATATGGTTTGTATCAAACTCTATATTTAGGAAGAACAACTGTGAGCTATGACAGGAATTCTCTTTAACACTTAGCCTGAAACCGAGTTTCCCTCTAGCCCCGAGCGGGGAGCAGCTCTCAGTACTGAGTGAGGCACCGAACACTTGAGCTATTTCAGCCACATGCAAAGCATCGGAATTGAGATCACAGCTCAGAGGACACCAGGCGTCCCTTCCACCTTCTGAGGAGCGTTGTATTCTTGCATCTGGCTGCTTGGGACTTTCCTTAGGCAGTAAACAAATACATAAAGCAGGTAAGCAAGAGGACCCAGCTCAGGGAGCTGGGGATTTCTGAAGGAGATTTCCTTGATACCTAACTTGAAGTGACTACTTAGAACTTTGTAGGCTTGTGACTAGTGGATGTAGCTTCCCTATAAATTCACTGTTCAGTGGTATTGTTGCTGATCCTGTTTTATAAGTTGTGTGTGTGGGGGGGAGGGAACTATTTGAAAGAATATTGAACTAAAACTAGTTTTCACCGATGGTGCCATTACAAAAATTTCCACAGTCCAGATAGGATGACTGTGATCCTGAACATCATGTCATTTTCATTCTTATGGCCAGGATTACAGTCAGTCAGCTGCAGAGTGATTCAGGCTGTAAGCCTAGAAATAATCAGGAGAATTTGCAGCAGAGGAAACCTGTAATGCTAGCTCTCTGATTTACCTAAATGCAAACGATTGCCGGAGTTGTTGCACAGTACAAGTTTAAAATGCTTTGCCCCTCTCCCTAAGCACCGGGCTTGGCCCCAATGATAAAGTTCTATGAACGTACGGATCGATTAACATTCCAAAGGCATCTTTTTGAAAGCGCCACTTTGGTCAGGTGTTCCCGGTGCCCAGCAGGGTGGAGGGCAGCACTTGTCTGTCTCTGTGGGCACCAGGTTCTGAGACATGGCAACGATGAGAGTGTCTCTTGCCTCTCGGCATATTTCAGGCAAAGTGAATAAGGAGTTAGTCAGTTCAGACAGCTGAACATCTTTCTACACTCTTCTCAGGGATTATTTTTAGCTGCGGGACAGAAGATAATTCCCTGTGAGAGTGAGCTTCAGCCATTTAGTAGACCTTGAAAAAGAACAAACAAAGCCCCTTCTATCCAGATATTGATTTATTTTGCTGTGAATCCCTTCTTATTAAATTAGTGATATTAATGTTGACAAATTTTTAGTAAGTGTAAGAGTCTTATTTAGAAGTCAGATATTAGGTGCTGCCCAATCAAAACATCAGCAGAGGTATATTGTATATGACTCAGCATACAGAACGTTAAAGTTCCCCCACTGACTTGCAGATCTTCCAGGAAAACCCAACTGTGCTAATCTGGCAAGCATTTCCATTATAGTATAGGCTTTGTAAAAGTCAATATGTCTTGTCAAACTTTCCGTGTTCCCAAATTTTAGCCAGAACCAGGAGACACAGTAATAGAGTGCTTTAAAGAGTACCTCTTTAGATGAAAAGCTGGGGCCAGCTGTGAGTAGACTTGTGCGTCTAAGGCATAGCTTTCTTTTTTGTTGGTGAGACGAGGCGTGCAGATAAAGAAGGAAGGTGCATTCTACACTGCATCCCTAACGGAGGTGAATGCAGGGCCAGGGAAACAGCCAGGGAACACTGTCTATTTTTATTCATCAGCGTGCTTTGCCCTGATTTCTCTGCAAATAATGAGGACAGCGGGAACGGCTTGCAGGACTGATTTACACAAATGTTATATGGCCTGTTTTCAAGGAATGAGAGCTGGGATCTGACCAATTTTCTAAAGATGTTTCTATTGCAGATTGACATATATGTTAAGAAGGAATTCATATGTAAATGAGATTATACAGAGGCTATATAGGAGACAAGGCTCAAGGTAGATCTATCTTTTAGTCTCAGAGGTCCACAAGAAACAAAGCAATCCGATAGTTTAGTGAAAAAAAACAAAATCAGCCTAATTAAAAAAAAATCAATGTCATATAAATAATACAATCATTCATTGCCTAATTTTTTTTTACATTTCAACATGCTATTGTAATAACAAAAGAAATTTCCTACTTCTCATGTTTCAAATCAATGTACAGTAACTTTTTAAAAGTTTCAAGTGATATTGGTTAGACTGTAGCTGTACACACAGAGAAAACTATATGCGGAGATGTTTAAAGTCCTGTGAGAACTATTGTTTTGCATGACTTCTAATAGCTTTTGAGGAATAGAGACATTAAATATTAAACTACTAAGCTTTTCCTTTTGAAATTGAACTATGTATCCTAGATCCAAAAATTAAAAAGCCTTCATTGAATCTTTGACACTATAGGAAAGACAGAAATCTATATGAAACATGTCATAGAGAAAAATGCATTCCTAATTGTTCAATTTCTTGTTGCTTTTTAATTTTTTAACCAAAATGAAAATAATTCTAACTAGGCTCTTCCGGATGGAGGCCATATATCTATGTATTACCAAAACATTCAGGTGAAACTTTAAAAAATCTCATTGTTTTCATGTATGTGACTCCAAAGACTTATATTTGGATTAGAGATTTAAAAAATTATGTAATTGTTTGACTTCATATAATAGAACCTAAGACTTTGAAAATCTAAAAGAACATGTTTTTCAGAGTTCTCAGCTCTTTTTTCTTTATAAGTGGTGGAGGCGTCACTACATCAATTCCTTTTTTTAAATTTTTTAAAATGTTTTTATTATTTATTTTTGAGACAGAGAGAGAGCATGAGTGGGGGAGGGGCAGAGACAGAGAGGGACACAGAATCTGAGGCAGGCTGCAGGCTCTGAGCTGTCAGCACAGAGCCCGATGTGGGGCTTAAACTCATGGAGTGTGAGATTATGACCTGAGCCGAAGTTGGATGCTCAACCGACTGAGCCACCCAGGCGCCCCACATCAATTCTTTTTTTAAAATGTGTACTTATTTTGAGAGGGAGAGAGAGAGCATGAGTGGAGGAGGGGCAGACAGAGAGGAGAGAGAATCCCAAACAGGCTCCACACTGTCAGCGCAGAGCCCGACATGGGGCTCAATCTCACCAACCGTGAGATCAGGACCTGAACTGAGATCAAGAGTCGAACACTCAACTGACTGAGCCACCGAGGCACCCCCACCAATTCTTTCTCCATACTTGAAGCTGTAGATCAGGAAAGTACAGAAAAGTCACTAGCTGTGGACAGTGGCAATAAAACAATAAATATTTGCATCAAGCTTAAGTGTTCACAAGGTAGTTTGGGGAACATTATGTCATTTTGATTCTCACCACAGCCTGTGAATCAGGTAAAATTTGAGGAAGAGGATAGGGGCCTATAAATGTTGAGTGACACAGGCCAGGTTGCACAGAACTTGTAGGAAATGCCCACGCTGCTGTCTGTGTTCATTTATTCACAGGTTAGCACGTGCATTTACACCAGTCAGTAGAGGAATGTCACTCAACCCATTTTATACTTTGGGTTTAAGTAGCAGTATGTTTTTCATTCACTCAATTTTCACCTTTTTCCACTGGGCCTGTCAACATTTAATAGACCTAGCTATGACACTATTTAGACTTGCGATAACATGCCAGAGCTGGGCTGTTCCCTGTCCCCCTAGCGCCAGGAAAACCTTGGCCACTAGTCACTGTGCTCTAAGCCAGGTCTCCTGATCTGAAAGAAAGCACAAGTCCTTTGGGAAGGAAGCACTGCTACATCTTGGGGAAATGATATAGTCATGTAAGTCCTATTTGCCTTCTGAGGCTATTTTGTTAAGAGAAGAGACGACACGGCCACCTGGGTGGCTCAGTCTGACTCTTGATTTCGGCATTGGTCATGATCTTGAGGTTCATGGGACTGAGCCCTCCATCGGGCTCTGCCCTGTCAGTGTGGAGTCTGCTTGGGATCCTCTCTCTCCCTCTCTCTCTTCCCCTACTCTGCTTGTGCTTTCTCTCTCTCCCCGCCCCCCCCCAATATAAGTAAATTAACATGAAAAAACATAAAAAAAAAAAAAAAGAAGACAGGTGAAGCTTATGGCTGCCTGTGTTTACAGAGCCTGGGGTCTGCACACTGTGTGGGGAGAGGTGGCCCTATCCTCACAGCGTCTCCCAGGGCTGTGCACAGTGAACACAGACAATGTGCACAGTGAGCCGAGGGCGTCACAGGAGTGAGAACGTAGTTGAGGCCATTTCTATTTGGGTGTTCGTGGAGAGGAGGAGCTCCCAGTGGACTGACACACAGCCCTGGCAACAGCTCATTCAGATCACAAGTTCAGTTTCAGGCGGAGAGCTTCTGAGGCCCCAAACAAAGGTGTTTTTTTTCCCACAACCTCTTTGCTTTGCTGCTCTTGGCAGTGGGGGCAGGAGGGCAGGGAAGGAGATGATAGAGCCTTTCAAGTTTCTGATTGCCTATCATTCGATCAGGGGCAAGGCGTCTCAGCATTTCTCCTCCTGAATGATTTATCCGGGCGCTCTAGTGTTCCCTCTCCCCAAGGCATTAGGAAGGAGAGTCTCTCAGTAACTTCGGAAACTGAGACGGAAAGAATATATGGCCAGTGAAAGGGGTGACTGCCCAGTTGAATCATGAGTTAAGTTCTAATTTATCAAGACAGAATCTCAATGCCGCCACCTTTAACAGTTTCTCACTTGTTTTTTTAGGGATAAGACCCCGTGAATATGTCGAAACAGCCGGTTTCCAATGTCAGAGCCATCCAGGTAAGTAGGCATATTTCTGTTTTAATATCAGCTCTGTGACGCCTAGCCTGTTTGCTTAATAACTCAGACCTTTTGTGATTGTTCACCCCTAACTTGGTAATTAACTTCAAGAAAAGCGCGACTCATAGGGCACAAATGAGACAGGATATAAGGCTGGTAAGGTACGACTGAGGAGGGAGAAGCTATTTTTGCTCAATTGTGCTCAATTGTAAGACAATCAAAGTTATAACTAAGAATCAAATGATTGCCTACCAAAAAATGCAGTGTTTATTTTTTGGACGTTTTTCAATCTGTATGTTTTTGACATGCTCATGATAGCCATTAACAAAAATCAATTTCCATTTTTATATCCAATTAAATTTGCTGACCCATGTGTTTAGAATACATCCTTTCCTGTCAAGTGTTATTCCCAAGGTTTGGGTATTTATCTTATAAAGTCTGTATGTTATTATGTCTCCTCCTGTCTTCCCAGCAAACAAATTCCTTGGTTGTTTCCACTGACTTAAGAGTCACCCCAAAAAGGGGAGGGGGAAACAGGCATTTTGGAACACAAATACAATTACGAAGGTAACTTTCAATATTGTTTTTACTCAATACTTAATTTTTTATTTTTTTGAGGTTTCTGGGTTTAACTCTCAAATGGCTCCCACACTGTGATGCTGGGCACACTGCTTTAGTATAAATTTCCATCTTTCTCTTCCATCAACATGGAGTCATCTGTGCTTTCTCTAAAGGAGCTTTTAAACTTTTTTTTTTTCCTGGACTTTTCTGAATCCCACAGGACATGAGGCATAGTTTCTGAATATTTGGGGTCTGATGCACTGTCACAGCATAAACATAAGCGATTGACCATATTGTGGAAGGGTGTGCATGTGGCCAGATTGTGGGGTTAGAAATCCTAACACACACTGGTGGTACACGAGGTGGGTGGGGGGACAAATCCTCACCTGTCATGACTAATGCACAGTCTTAAGTGGATGGGCTTCTTAAGTGGAAAGATGTATTACAACCTCTGGAAACCAGTCATAGAACAGACTACCAAGAAAGAGCCTATTGGCAAGGATCCAACTCCGCATTGCCACGTTTAGCCCTGTTGTGTCCACCTAGTGAGTGTCTGACATACCTTGAATTTATTTTGCCTCCCAGATCTGTGGGCATCCTTGAGCCTTTGAATCTTCTTTACATGAGTTTGAATCCTTAATCCATACCAGTGTGGAATCATGGGAAAATGACTTCATCTCTCTGCCTTTGTTTCCACATCTGTAAAATGGGGATAATTGTTATTATCATGTCCTCATGTCCTAGAGCTACACATACAAGTTGTTTAAACAGCATAGTAAGCCCTCATTAAGTGACAATTATCATAATAATTATCATTCAGGAATGCTCTATGTTAACGTGAAGAGAAATAATACCATTTAACCACTGCATTTAAAGCTCTCAAAGTGCTAAACAGAAAATTTCCTTTTTATTTTGCAGGACAGAAAAACATAGTCTTCTCTCAGGCTGTCTTTGCTTCTTTTCCTTTTAAAGCTAAAAGTGTGTTGATTTTTCTTCCTTAGCGCTTTCTAGCTTCCCTCACATCTACACTGAAAATTCACCAGTATTTTATCTACTAATTTTGACCTTGATATATTTTTAGGTCTGTAATATTTAAAAAGCTGCTATTGACTATTCTCAGTAGCTGTTATTTTACTGCATTTAAAAAATTCCATCCACTCTACCAACAAAGGCAGTAGAGTGATTTCTTATGGATGTGGTATTGCCTCTTTCAATATACTTTATGCCACTCAAAAAGCCTAATTTAAGGCACCTTCAAATGAAATATTATTTCTTGTGGCTAAATAGGATCTGCACTATCTGATACTTTTCTATAATTTCTGCATTAACCTAAAGTAGGGTCTATTAAATAAAATATGAAAATGGTTACACTATGTAAAACGGTTTATAGTAACATTAATTTAGGGTACAGTACTGTCTGGAACAAATAGAAACCCCAAATGATGAGGGAATGCTTTTATTGTTTAAATACCACTTAAAGATCTTAAATGTTCTATTCAACACATTCTAGTTGCTTCTTCTTTTTTATTTTAAATTAAAAAAATTTTTAACATTTATTTATTATTTTTGAGAGACAGAAAGAGAGTGCAAGCAGAGGAGGGGCAGAGAGAGAGAGAGGGAGACACAGAATGCGAAGAAGGCTCCTGGCTCTGAGCTGTCAGTGCAAAGCCTGATGTAGGGCTTGAACTCACAAACCTCAAGATCATGACCGAGCTGAAGTTGGATACTTAACCAACTGAGGCACCCAGGCACCCCTTGAAGCTTTTTTTTAAATTTTAGAGGGAGAGACAGTGCAAGTGGGGGAGAGAGGCAGAGAGAGAGAGAGAGAGAGAGAGAGAGAGAGAGAGAGAGAGAATCTTAAGCAGGCTCCATGCTCAGCGTGGAGCCCAATGTGGGGCTTGATCCTACAACCCTGGGATCATGACCTGAATTGAAATCAAGAGTAAGACACTCAACCGACTGAGCCACCCAAGTGCTCTGCTTCTCCTTTTTATCAGGATCTTATTTCCAATTCAACTGTCATTTCCTGGGTATACAATTTGTGACAGGAACTGTGCAAAGTGCAGGCCATGCAGAGATGAACTGATATCCGATTCCTCTCTTTGAGGAGCTCATAATCTCCAGGCCTTACTAGCTGTGTGACTTTGGGCAAGTTGTTCATCCTCTTTGTGCCTTGGTTTCCTTATCTATCAAGTGGGGAATTAATAACAGTACTGTTCTCATAGGTTTGCTCAGAGAGTTAAGTGAATTAATACATGTAAATACTCAGGCCAGTATCTGGCTTATTATAATTGCTTAATCAATATTAGCCATTATCATCAATCATCATCATCATCATCATTATCATCATCATCATATCACCACCATCATCTAGTTCAACAGTTCCCAAAGTCTGTCTCTTAGAATACTAGTTTTATGGATGCTTTTTGTTAATTAAAGGATTCCATGATAAAATGTTTGGGAAATACTACATTAAGCAAAGTTGAATAGGATCTTTACTGCATAATTTTTCAGAGTCCGTAACTTGGTAATGGCTTCATGTATTTCCAAGAAAATGATGATGTATGCAAAGTTTTATACATATTGGACCTTTAATTTTTTATTATATTTTTTAAATGTTTGTTTATTTATTTAGAGAAAAAGCATGAGTGGGGGAGAGGCAGAGAGAGAGGGAGAGAGAGAATCCCAAGCAGGCTCCATGCTGTCAGTGCAAAGCCTAATGTGGGGCTCAATCTCATGAACTATGAAATCATGACCTGAGCCAAAATCAAGAGTCCGATGCTCAACCAACTGAGCCACCCAGGAATCCCTAAATATACTGGACCTTTTAAATGAGTATTTTGCAGGATAGTATTTTGCAGCACAAACTTATAAAAAATAATGTCTTAGATCTCTATTTTGTCTGGATTGAGCAACTTAAGCCACTGTCAGCTATACTTACAACAGGTGGGCATTTAGATAGTTGAACTATTGCATCTGTGTGCATCAGACATGTTAAGGATTGTTATAATGAATAAAATAATGAATAGCACACAATTCCTTAAAAGATCTCTCTCCTTTTAATTTTTTTTAATGTTTATTTTTGAGAGGGGGGGAGGGTCAGAGAGCAAGGGAGACAGAGAATCTGAAGCAGGCTCTGCATTGTCAGTGCGAAGCCCAATGTGGGGCTTGAACCCATGAACTATGAAATCAGGACCTGAGCTGAAGTTGGATGCTCAACCGATGGAGCTACCCAGGTGCCCCAAGAGAAGTCTCTTTTAACTCTCCAGGTAGTACATGGAATGGCCTTGGTTTCTTTTCAGCTGGTTCCATCTCCCCCATGCCCCAGATTAATAAGGGAGGCCAGAATTAGGCCTAACCTCTGAGGACATGGACAGTTGTCTTTCATATCCACATTGAAAAGGTGGCTTTGAATTATAAGGGGATTCTATATAAGTCTGCATTACTTTTCAGTTGTATTAATGCAATCACATTTATGCCAGGGACATAAAAATATCCTGCAGGAGTCAGTTGATCCTTCCCTTGCCTGGACAGGGCCTCTGTCTCCTAAGCAGCTATAAGGCTGTATCCCAGATGTTGGCAAATGTTTTCTATAAAGGGCAAAATAGTAAATACTTCAGGATTTGCACATCATTGGGTCTCTATTCTGACTACCCAACTCTGCCATTATAGCACAAAAGCAGATATAGGCATTACATAAATGAATTGAGTGTGGCTGTGTGCCAATGCAACTTTATTTATAAAAACAGGTGGCAGGTTGGATTTGGTCCATGGGCCATAGTTTGCTGACCTTGGTTCTGTACTCTCCAGGCTGCTTGTTAAACCCCATTGTTGATGGGGATGGAGTTGCAACCAAGGTAACATCAGCACACTCAGCATAGTGGGTCTGGTCCCTTCAGATGAAAGAATTTGAGATGACAGGTGGGGAAAGCTAGAGCTGGTGGGAAATCCAGTCCTATCGGTGATCTGCTCAGCAAGTCTCTCTAATGAGACCAAGTGACACTGGCCACTGGCAGCACCTGCCTGTCCTTCCCCTTCCTTCTGAACACACTCCCTTTGGAAATCACCATGGGCCTCAGCTCACCCAGAGCCAATGTTCTCTGGGTCGTCACTGGCTTTTATCTCCACCATTGATCAAAGTGAGCTGAGTTTTATGTGTCCTTTCTCATGAGATCAGAGAGCTTCATGGTTGAATGGAAAAGAGTCCTGTGCCCTACTCGTAGCTCTGCTCTGTGACTTCACCCCCCCCCCCCCCGGTCCTCATGCTATGCAAAAGGAGGGTGTTGCATTATATGGGCTCCCAGCCTCTGTGCAGCTTCTAATAGTCTATGAACTTCCTGAGAATAACTTCTAAGGTTTCTTATTAGGATGATAATAATAGTCACAGTTTATTAAGGGTTTACTATATACTTGGCATAGTACAGTGAGATCCCCATGGA